TTTTATACTTGTTACAATTCAGTATTTGATATTTTTTCTTACCATTTAGACATTTTTATTTATTTATTTATTTTAAATAGTTAATTTTTTAATATTTTTAATAAAAAATTAAGTTTTATAAAATGATTTTAAAAAAATAATTATAAGTAAAAAATTAAGTTACTACATAAGGCCCATATAAAATCGATTTTTATTTTTATAATTTTATAAGTTAATTAATTAATTATAATTATTTTTGAAATTTTTTAAATATCTAATTATAACTTATTATTTTAAATTTTTTCATTAAAAAATTACAAGTTTAATAAGTGAAAAATGTCGAATTGTATTCAAAAAAATATTTATTATATATATGCACACCTACACACACACACACATATATATATATATATGACCATCGAGATTTGAATTAGAAGGAAAGTAGTGTGGAAGAGGAGCGTATAAAAGTAGAATTCCACAAGTTTGAGGAGAATACATTTTGCACTGGAGCAAGCTTTGTTGGTAGCGGCCGTTCTGAAGAAGATGATGGCTGGATCATAACCTTCGTTCATAATGAAGCTACTAGCACATCTCAAGTCAGTCAATTTTCAACCTTCGTTCAACATGTATATATATATATACACACACACACACACAGAGACATATATATTTCTAATTTTCTCTTGCAGGTTCATATAATTGACGCAAAGAAGTTTTCCACAGAGCCAATAGCAAAAATTACACTGCCATGTAGAGTTCCATACGGTTTCCATGGTGCTTTCATGCCTATCCCCTTACAAACTTCCTTATCATCATCATCGTCTTCTCTATATTAAACTACATGTCACAGTTGTATAACATGTTTATTTAATGTGGTACTTTTTAAATATGTATTTATTTATGTGTAATTGATTTTGTCATAATTTTTTCTAAAAAGGGTAATATAAATCTTGTTTTTTCTCTATCTTTTGTGAAGTATAAGCAAATGAAACTAATATACTTTTATTTTTCTTATTAATTAATGTTGTAACACCCTTAAATCTTCTCATATTTTTGGTCCAAGCAGCAACCATTAGATTCTTCTTATTTTATCGCGTTAAGATAAGCTATTACGTCTTTTAAATTTAAACTACTAAAAATAGTCGAGATTTATTTTCTTATATTCTTTAACTTCTTTATTTACATACTTTAATTCTCTGTGTGATCTATCATTATATTTAAAATTTTCACCATAATAAACGTTCATGTTAGACGAGGGTATCCGTAGAATTAGAGTAATACAAACTGTATGCACAGAAGAATTGAACTGAATTCATGTGATTTTTACTTATGAAATCAATCAATTTAAATAGAACAAAAATAAAAAAAAAACGTTACAAAAAATAAATAACCATTAATTCATTAAAAAAATTACCGATTCATTAATTTATAATTGATGAAATTAAGACCGCTATTTCATTGTCACTACTTCACGATTAAGATACTACGGCTACACTACTCAATAACGGCTAAATTAAACTACTGCTAGTTCATAATTTCACCATTATGGATGTGTAATTTCATTTCTATTATATAATGATGTGCATAAACAGGTATTTAATGTTATATTTTTAAGATTTATGTTTTATGGGTTGTAGTAAAAACCCAGCAATATTACTTAATGCATTTTAGTAAAAATTTTAGTGTATAGTAATAAACATCTTGTTAAATAATTGTTTATATTCATTATTGATGAGAAGATGGATGCGTCCAATAGTTTTTGTAGCTCAAAAAGCATGATCCAAGTTTATAGTTGGAAAAAAAAAAAAAGAGATTTTGAGACCCACATAATTTTTATTTATAATAATAAAATATTCAATAAACCCCAGTATTTACAAATAATTGAAAAAAAAGTATTTACTCTGAAAAGAAAACTTAAAAAATATATGAATAATATATGTATGTACGTATATAGCACTACATTAGAAGATTTCAATTTACGAAAAACACTAATTAATTTGTCTCTAATAAATTTCTCATTTATTTTTTCTAAACACACATCAATTGATTTGTCTTAGTTAATTAATTTCTCATTAATGTCTACCTACTTGATTTCAACCTAATTAATTTGCCCTAATTAATTAATTTCTCGTTAATTTTTAAGTAATCTTCCTTATTAATTTTCACCTAATTAATTTGCATTAATTAATTAGTTTCTCATTAACCTCTCTAATTAATTTACAGGTAATTAATTTGTCATACTTTTCTCTCTTTATATGTATAGCTCTGCATCTCCAATAAAAGCCAAACATTTATTTTATATACGAAAAGCAAGCATTATATATATATATATATATATATATTGAAGAAGATTTCAGGATGATTGAAGTATTTTTTACCACTGTCTTGATAAATTAAGAATTTTTTTAGAATTTATATATAAAGTCAGACTTATTTTAAAATGCATACATACATAGAAAACCTTTTTTCAAATTTTTTTGTGAATTTGAGGAAAAGTCAATAATAATTAATTAATGACTACACAAGAGGGAGAGAATCCCGCAATCATTAATGGAGTTGAACGCAGACGATTATGACCAATTGATAATAGTTTAATAAGATATCCAATTGTTTATGGGGTATATATATATATATATATATATACATGTATAAGTTCGGAATATCTAAAGTAGGGTGGATAGTTGTAGTTGCCGAGGCATTGGTTTGTGGAGTTGTGAAAAACGCAGGAGAATATATATATATATATATATATATATGTATCAGATGGGATCTTCATATTATGCAGCAATGCAACTGAACTGCACAGGATTGCAGGGAAAACCCACCATTTCTCACATTAACTTCAAGTCAATACTCTCCTCCTCTTTCAAGGTAACTTATTAATCATCTAAAGTTTTTATCTTTCTTTTTCTTTTCTCAATTCATAGTTTAGCACAGAACTAAAACTATCATATACTCAACTTCACAATAAAGCTGTAAGCATTATCACTTAATGGATGGTACTCGAGGAGCAACGAAGGTGGTATATAACTATATATATGTATATATATAAAGGAATGATGGATGATTTTGATTGGCAGCCAATTTTGAAGGAGCTGCAGCGACCACCTATGCGCTTAGATTTTGGTAACACCATCAAGGGCACTTCTGTGAGACTTGTTGATGTGTTTGTGGATTCCATGTTCGAATTTGTTGATCATAAATTGTCGCCATCTCAGGTTCCATCTATCTTCATTAAGTAGTTTCTAATTTGCAATATATATGAATAAATATAAATTGCTATATATATATATATATGTGTGTATATGTGTTTGTTGCATGGGCATTCATGAAATGTTGTTATCTTGGGATTGTGATATTTTGTTGGTTGTCAACTTAAATGAGTCTGGGAAGACCAATCTCGAAAACCTAATAGACAAGATAAGGTTATGGCTTGGCACTAAACGACAAGAATATATATATATATATATTATCTAAACACTCCTAAATTAATTTCATTAATATCTTCAGCTTCACACCCATAAAGTTGGTGTTGTCATGTGTCAATGATAGAATCACAAAAATAATTATTTTATATTAGTTATGAAATTGACTTAAAATTACAATTTTATTTAGGTTTAAATAACATTATAGTTCTTAATTGTTAAAAACAAAGTTTAATAAAATTAAGGAGAAGTAAATTTTCTCGTGCTTAATCTGCAGAGTAACTTTGCTCCAATTGATTACGAGTTTAAAGAAGGTGTTGATGTGAGAGTGACAGAAGGGGCAATTCCAGATGATTTTCCAATCGGTGTCTATATAAGAAACGGTTTGCTTCTTTCTCTTTTTTCTTCGAATCTCCTGCTTATGAATTCAGATAATATATACATGTATACATATACAATTATATATGATTAATGAATGCTGGATCAAACCCACTTTTTGGAGGGTTGAAGTCAACGAAATCTGTGTTTGGGAAGGCAAGAGATATCTGGGTTGAAGGAGAAGGAATGCTTCATGCTTTGTATTTTAACAAAAGCAATGGCACCTGGAATGTTGTATACAAAAACAGATACGTTGAATCTCAAACGTTCAAATTAGAGAAACAGAGAAATAAACCATCTTTTCTCCCAGCAACTCATGGGGATTCACTCGCCATCTTCTTGTCTTCTTTCCTGAATTGGGTTTGTATTTCTATATGCTTTCCTGCATTATTTTATTTTATTTTTTTGTTCATGTTAGTGTCTAATTTGTGTATACGTGTTTGTGGATCAGTTAAGATTTGGAAAGTTGAACAAAGACATGAGCAACACCAATGTGTTTGAGCATTCAGGGAAGCTGTACTCAGTTGCAGAAAATTTCCAACCTCAAGAATTTGACATCTTCACTTTGCAAACTTTGGGTGATTGGAACGTTAATGGAGCTTGGATGAGATCTTTCACCAGCCATCCCAAGGTTTATATTCATATCTTCATATATACACATACATACTCCCACCACAGAATTTGATTAAGTTAAAATTTTGAACTTTTGACAGAAAGCTCCGGGTAGTGGAGAGCTTGTAACTATGGGAGTGGATCTAAGTAAACCTTTCGTTGAAGTGGGAGTCATATCTGGTATGTTCTTTACCATTGCAGCATATACTCATGTTATGTATACACACACATATGTATATATATATATATATTCAAACCCACTTTAATTTATTTATTAAATCCATAATATATTAATTTATTTTCCAGCTGATGGAGAGAAACTACTGCACAAAGTGGATCTCAAACTTAACAGATGCACATATAGCCATGAATTAGGAGTCACGCAAAGGTAACCACCTTACATATAATATATACATATATAGAAGATAAATCAGAAATATATATATATATATATATATATATATATATATGTGTGTGGAGGGAGTGAATTATGTTTTATGACTGCATGCAGGTATAATATTTTCATTGATCACCCGCTGTCACTGGATGTAAACAGGCTTATTCTTGGAGGCCCGTAAGTGCATGATGCTGAATTTTTTTATCAGCATAAGATTTTGAGGTTATTAATTTTAATATATTATCCATATAGTAGCATAATTAGAGTTTTAATGTTCAAAATAATTTATTAATTTTTTTCAATCAGTCTAAATTTTTGGAATAATTTGTTTTAATATATTTTGTAAATAAAATACATGACAATAATTTCTTATTTTTATTTTTAAATTTAAATTATTTATGTATATCTTATGTATAAAATTGCATAAGTTAATTAATAATAAAAGAGAATAACAATGTAAATTAAACAGATTTAGAAAATATAAAATATATTTCTTATTTTTTTCTATAAAATAATATATTTTGTACTACAATTATTCAGTAATTTTTTTTTTTTTCATGTACAGACACATAAATTTAGAAAGTAAAAGCTAAAAAATATTTTTATATAATAAATAAAGTCTAAAATTTCCTTTAAAATTAGTTAATTTTAGACCATAATTAACAGATTAATAGAGTTTAACAAAAACAAGTATGCGAAGATTGGTGTTTTTCCTCGATATGGAGACTCAGATTCGATTCGGTGGTTTGATGTAGAACCAAATTGCACCTTCCATATTCTGAACTGTTTTGAAGATGGAGATGATGAGGTAAATAATAATTTATTTATAATATTGTAAAGTAATTTTCATATATTTGAACATAAATCTTTAATGGGATCAAGATAAAGTTTAGGTTGTAGTGATTGGGTGTAGAGCTCAGGAGTCAACAATCCTGCTGGGAGAAGATGATGAGGGTTCTAAAGAACTTAATGAACTGTTGTTTTCTCGTGCTCATCAATGGAGATTAAACATGAAAAGTGGAGAAGTGAAGGAGACAAGCCTAACTCCATCTAATATCTCAATGGACTTTCCTTTTATAAATTCAACTTTTACAGGTTTGCGAAATAAATATGGCTACACCCAGGTTTCTCATCTCCTTGCAAGTTCAATATCAGGTTCTTCAAAGATACTTTCATTATATGTTTATAAGTACCATATATCTATATTCTAATTCCAATGTTTTTAGGCATGCCAAAGTTTGGAGGCATTGCCAAGTTGTACTTACATGAGAAACAAACTACTGCTTCTTCTAATAGGGTAGACTTAAAAACACTCCTTTGTGTGTACGTGTGTGTGTTATGTATATATGGGTTGATTAAATGGGGTTTTGGTAAATATTCGTGGCAGGGCGGGAGAGAAATGGAAGAGCAGCTGATAAAAATGGAATTCCATGAGTTTGAGGAGAATACATATTGCACAGGAGCAGCTTTTGTTGCTAAACAAGGAGGTGTTGAAGAAGATGATGGGTGGATTATCACCTTTGTTCATAACGAACAAACTAATATCTCTCAAGTCAGTCAATTTCACAAAAATCTACCTTCTCAAATCAATATACAACATATATATATATAAATATCTTCCTGTCTCTTGCAGGTTTATATAATTGATGCAGACAACTTCTCGAGTGAACCAGTAGCAAAGATCAAATTGCAGTGTCGAGTTCCCTATGGTTTTCATGGTGATTTCTTCCCAATTCATATGTAAAATTCTACTTTTTCTTTTTCGAAATTTGAAGCCCAAGACTCTACTAGAAAATAAAATGTGAAATAATGAAGAACCTTAAAAATGTTCATTTTGATTTGATGCGGAAACTGAACAATTGACGAAGAATTGTAAGAAAATTGCGGTCAGTTTGATAACGATCGAGTAACATTACTTCTTCGACCTCAACCAAAAATTTCTTATATCTAATACAAAAATAATTTTATTCTATCATTGAATATATATCTTTTTATGAAAAATACGAATCGAAATTTAAAAAAAATAAAATAAAAAATTCTCGATCCGCATCACAGATAGAGAAACATTTAATCAATTACATAATTCTAACTCTTAAAACATTACACGTTGAGACTTTTTATTTGATTATATCGAAATATCTAAGGAATTAGAATGTCACTGTTGGATCCGATTATTTCGAAAAAGAAAAAAGTAAATTATTTATGATGAACTTGAAGCAAATTAAGAGTTTGTATTTAATTGTATCAAAAGGCCTAATCAATTTTCTTCTATTTCAAGTGGGTCCACGTAATCTCTAATAATTACATCTTGAATATTTGCAATTTATCAAAATCAATACATATATTGCAACAATTTGTTTGTAATCTTTGTTTCATTGTTATGGTTTTAAAGGTAGTTTTCAAAGGTACTTATTATTCCTAGTAATTATTTCAATTATTTATATTTATGTTGCTAACAACTTAGACAGAAAGAATATTAATTTAATTAATAAATTTATTTATTTAGAGAAGATTTTTAATAAATTCTATTTTCTTTCTCAAAAAAAAAAAAAAGATATGCTATAAATTTAAGATTAAGATTGAAATTGAAATAATTATTTAAATTCATTTATTTTAAGTATATTTTAAAAAACTGCAACTGTTTAATGTTCTTAAATGGATTTTTTTTCCCAAGAGAAACGTTTTTCCTTATTAAAAAAAAGTATCATTTTTCGGTTATAATCATAAATTCTTTTATTATAATATTATTATTTTTTAAATGTATTTTCTTATTTTAAAATTCATAAACTCATTGGTTTAATTCTAATGTCTTGAATTATTATTTCTGAAAATTCATAAAAATTTTTATGTTTTCGTCTTTTTATTTTAAAATTTTTAGGATTTCAAACATAATTTTAGTACACAACAAGTAATCAAAGCCATTATTTTATTAAAATATAATAAACTAATTAATTTGTTTAATTAGCTAATAAATTAAAGAAAAGACAAAATTTTGCTATCTACACTCTTAGTATAATTATTATATTTATAATATTAATATTATTTATTTATATACCAACCATATGCGACTTTTAATATTAATATTTTCACGTTTTTTGTGTATGCATGAGACAAGGAATAAAATAGGCGGTAATTGCGCGTGGACTACAATTGCCACCTGTAGTTCAATTCGAGCCGCCATTACGTAATATCCGACTGGTTCGGAACCCTATTTTTGTTTTGTTTTATTTTATTTTATTTTGCTTTTTTTTATTTTATTTTAGGAAATACATTAAAATATTTTCTGGGAAATCAGAAAAATAAATGCACAGAAGCCTAAACGGGATCTTCCTACTACCGCCAACGTTCCCAGTTCCAATTTCCGTTTTCAAATATAAAACCAAGAGAAAACAGAAGAAAGAAATTGCCAAGTTTTTTAGAGTTGTTTGGTTCCCGAGAAAGTTTGTAGGAAACGACAGTATAAACGAAACTTGCTGATCTCGTACGTTACCTGCAACTTTGACTGAAGACGCCAATACTCAATTCTCGTTCTCTTAATCTTCTCTTTAATTTTTTTTTTTTGTAGTGCGTGATCTACCGGCAGCCAACACAAACACAAGTCAAATCTCTAGCATTGTCTCTCTTTCGATCACTGGTTACTTTCACCACATGCAAGAACCGTAAGTAATTGCATGCAGTTTTGCCTCTTTTTTCCAATATTTCTTTTATTAATTTTTGTCTATATTTGCTTATTCTGTTCTTTGTTGTTGTTGAAATGATTAATTGATGAATTTCTGTGAACTGTTATTCATATAGTAGGAAAATTTGATTTCCTATTTCTTGTTTGTTATCTGAAGAATCTGCATTTGCTTGCAATTTAATTCTATCCTCCTTTCCGGTGTTTGAGTAATTTTTGAGTGGAAGATCGAATCTCTTACATGTTGTTCTCTTTGCGGTTGTTATCTGGCTCTTTTGATTCATGGTAGATTTCTGTTCTTCTGATTTTAGCGCACACGATCCGTCTATTCAAAACGCGCTATTTTCCATGAATTTTCAAGTATGTTTAACCATATAGGTGAATTTTTGGAAATGCAAGCGGTATAACTTTTCCAATGTTCCAAGTTTGTACCACTCATGTCTCTACTTTGTGGAAGATTGTAGTTTAATTAGCTGAATACGGAATCTGGACAATGTGCAGGTTTGGTATTTGTTATTGAGGGTCAGCTTCCAGTCCGTTGATTGATTTTCGATGGGTCATGAACTTCGATCATTGCTTCTAGTGGAAACCAGGAGACTAATATGGCTTATGGGATTTGTGTTTGCTGTAATTCTGATGTTCCAGTATGTTGAACTGCCTTACGGTAATGTTTTAACCTCTCTATTTTCTACTGATAAGGTTACAGCACCAACTGATAGTAGTTCCAGAACTGATGGTGCATTGAATAACTCGGAGATGATTGCTAATCTGTCTCATGAGAATAGTTTTAACTCGACCAATTCATATCCATTTCATGAGATGGTAAATAATACAGAGACTTCTGAAGGAGAAAACAGAAATCTAGATAGTGATATTGTATCAAAAGGAAGTAAACAGTTGAATTCATCTGGATTTGATGAGGCTAACAATGTTAAGCAGTCTTCAAGTGAGAAAATGAAAAATTCTCTTGTGGACAATGTCAATCATTTTGACAACATTTCTTCTGTTCCCTCGCTGGATGAGTTAAGAGAAGACGAACAGGGATTTTCTCCACAGAGTGAAACTGATGATAACGATTACACGGAGACGGAAAATACCATTTTGATATCACAAAGTGAAAGAACCTTGAATGACACATTTGCGTCTCTTCTTCATTATCAACAAAAATTCGTCATCAAACGTGAGCTTGCCACAAGATGTTATAACTAATGCAAGTACACCTTTTTACTCTCTTCATTTGAAGACACCACCAGGAGAGAACATTATGAAGTCTACTTCTAAAGACAATGAAACACTGGGGAAATTGCAAAGTAATTTCACCATATCTGGTGACAATTCTTCTCTGACTGTCGATCCTAAGGTGAACAGAAACTCTGTTACGCCAAAGTCTGCAGTAACTACGATAGCTGAGATGAAAAAGTTGTTGCATCAGAATCATGCTTCACATCATTCAGTGGTAGGTACAGAATTTCAGTTAGCGAATTTAGATTTCTTTTTGGTTATTTCAACCTTCATTTACTTTGACTCTTTATCTAAATATAGACACCACGATGGTCTTCAGCAGTTGATCAGGACCTAACATATGCAAGATCACAAATTGAGAATGCACCAATAATAAAGAATGATCCTGCACTTTATGCTCCTCTCTACTGGAATATTTCCATGTTCAAAAGGTGGGAGAATGTTCCTCTTATCAGATATTTTTGAACCATTCTGGAATTTTTTGCGGTATTTGTTTGACTTCCAAACAAATAGGCTTTAGAATCTTCAATTTTCAAATTTTACTTGCATATAAAGGGGATCACACTCTTTTAGTTGCTGAAGTCCCTGCTTCATCTATACAAGTCTCCAAATAGTTTAGTCTCAAACATAGATTTTTATTCTTTTCGATTTTCAGTTGCATGCAAGGACGATTCAAATGAAGTCTGTGATATTTCTAATGAGCATAATAATTACGTTTAAGTTGAGTTTGTGATTATTATCATTAGTAGATGGCCCTGTTTAACAATCAGACTTCTTGCATTCAGTTGGATAAGGTCGGGGAAAGAAGGATCTGCATGAAGTCAACCAATATAAGTTATTGTGATCTATATAGTTACCTTTTACTTAACATGTAAAACTTTCCCTATGGTCTGCTTATCATTTCCTCCAATGGCAGTTCACACGACACATGGAACTTATTATTATAGTCTGCAGATATTTATTATCTTCCATTGTGGATTTTAGTCAAGGATGATGCAGATGAATTTGTTATTTCCTTTGATGTGTGCAATAATTATAATTCCTTTTTTCTCCTTTAACCATTTATTCTTAATAAATGACCCTCTTTCGTTGTAGACTTGTTCGGTTGTTTTGGATAAGTTGGGAATGAGATGAAACTTTAAGCATGTTCTTATCTATATTTTGTGACTAATATTAATGAATATTAATGGTGAAAAGTAAGTGAAAAGGGAATCAGAATCAAAGGCATGTTAAGAGTTTTATTATATATATATATATTTAATTCTGTAGGGTGTTTTTTTAATTTGTATAGTCTGATTTTTAATTTGTATAGTCTGATCTGAATGGCAGTATTGCTGCTACTGTTCATTACTGAGAATATTTCACTTGTTAAACATATGGGAATTTCTGTTATAGCATGTTGTTTTGAAGGACAATTAATTCTTACTATCAGATGAACTTGTCTAAAATTTTCCCATTATCAAATTTGCAGGAGCTATGAGTTAATGGAAAATATGCTTAAAGTATACATTTACAAGGAAGGGAAAAAACCTATCATGCATATGCCAGTTCTGAAGGGAATATACGCTTCAGAGGGCTGGTTCATGAAATTACTGGAAGTTAACAAAAAATTTGTTGTTAGAAACCCTGGAAAAGCACATTTGTTTTACTTGCCTTTTAGTTCCCGAATGCTAGAGGAGACCTTATATATTCGTGATTCACACAGTCACAAAAATCTCATACAATTTTTGAAGGAATATTTGGATCTAATCTCTGCAAGATACCCTTTTTGGAACAGAACTGAAGGAGCAGACCACTTCCTTGTTGCTTGCCATGATTGGGTATGCTTATTACCTTAATTCACATTATGTAAATTCTGCAAATTAAATATCTTAAGAAAATGCTCTGGTAGTTAATTACCTTGGCTTACGATGGACATGCATGTGAATTCATATAATTTTCTGTTCAATTTCATATAGCTGTTAAATGAACTACTGTTCTTATAGCATTTCAAAGAAGTTGAATGAATACCTGTGTTTTCCTTCTTTTTCTTTCTTCACTTCACTGACAATTTTTTCTGTCATTTTGATAGCTGTAGAACTTTTTCATGGTGTTTTGCCTGATTGCTTTATTTCCTGTTAGATGTAGAGTAATAGATTCCTATGAGAAATGGATGTGATCTGAGATGCTACAATCACATATCTCTATGTTGCCTATGTTATTGAATAATAGGGGTTCTAACAAAGTCATTTTCCTCAGGCCCCGGCTGAAACGAGGAAATTTATGGCCAACTGCATAAGAGCCCTCTGCAATTCTGATGTTAAAGAAGGTTTTGTTTTTGGGAAGGATGCATCTCTTCCTGAGACAAACGTACGTGTACCTCAGAAACCTCTTAGGGATCTTGGAGGAAAGCCTTCTTCAGAAAGGAAAACCCTTGCTTTCTTTGCTGGAAAAATGCATGGATACCTGAGGCCTATTCTGTTACAACACTGGGGTGGAAACAAAGATCCTGATATGAAAATCTTTGGTCCATTGCCTAAGGTGAAGGGCCAAAAAAACTACATCCAGTTCATGAAGAGCAGCAAGTACTGCATTTGTGCAAAGGGTTATGAAGTCAACAGTCCACGAGTTGTGGAGGCCATTTTCTATGAGTGTGTTCCGGTGATTATATCTGACAACTTTGTTCCTCCATTTTATGAGGTTTTAAACTGGGAATCTTTCGCTGTTTTTGTTTTGGAGGAGGACATCCCAAATTTGAAGAAAATACTCCTCTCAATCCCAGAGAAAAGGTACAGAGAGATGCAAATGAGGGTCAAAAGAGTACAACAGCATTTCCTTTGGCATAGTAAGCCTGTGAAGTATGATATCTTTCATATGATACTCCACTCAGTTTGGTACAATAGAGTTTTCCAAGTTTAGCATACAATCCTGTGTACATTATTAGGTCTTGCTAGGAGTTTGGGAAGGTGTTGATTTAAACATTAGAGGAAGTGTGAGGAGGGTTAATTTGTAGATTATATCCGGGGGGGTTCAACGTTATACTTGTGAGATTCTTTTCCGCTGTGCATAGAGAATGAGTTTTACTTGGCCGAGTATCTCTCTGCCTCCTGTCCCTTTCACGTGTATTCATATTCATTTATCTGGTTGTTTTCTATGTATGCATGCTGCTCTTTGATTTTTATTATTATTTATATAGAAAATTTGTGAAGACAATAAATCCTTTTCAAATTTAGAGAATTTGGTGAAGTTTTTGCTGTGGGAAGAGAACCACCATTGTATTGACTTTATTTTCAGGTTACCGTACTTGAATCAGCTGCTGCTACATATCTTACCAGGAAGAGCCTGTTTTAGTGAACCAAATTTAGATTATGAAGTATTGATTCAATGAATTAGCAAATTTGCATTATCCCTTACATGGTTATATATGGAAAATAGATACTTGGACTGGAAATTGGATGAAAATTAATTTTTTTGGGTGGATCCAGAAATTGGATGATTTGCGCAGAAAAGCTTATATAGTTTATACTGTTACCTTCATTTGGTTGATTCTATTATCATATAATAATGTATAAATCATAATAGTTTTAAGCATAAAAGTTAATTGGAATTAATGTATTTTATATTTTATTTCTATATGCAGTTATTCTAACGTCAAATTTTTTATTCTTCCAAATAAATAATAAAAATATCTAGGTATAAAATTACCATAAAAAAGTAGATTATCTTTAATTTCAAAATCATAAATTTATTTTTATTTTCAATTGTAAAATCAAAGATTTGCCATTCCTACGTATTAAGGAATACATAACAAAACCATCTTTACTGAAATTGGATATGAAATTAAATTACCATTTTTATTTAAATTTTTTTTTATTGTATTTATATTATAATGATCATATTCTATAAAATGATAATTTCAAGAAAATTCAAACTAAATACATTTCAACAACCTCGAAGAGTTAAAAAGAAATGCCGCCAAACGGTAAAATTATAACCTTTTTCCTGTTCATTCGCCCAATCTTTTTCACTTCTCTGTTCCTTCCTCTACTTTCTGTGTCACAATTTACAAGCTTTGCACACCAGGAATCCGAAGTGTATAATCAATCAGATCATAGATCAATCCGTTGATATCAACGAAAGAGAGGAATCGAGTTTTAATATATTACAGAGACCAGACATGACAGCGGAGTCCAAATCCGGTGTGGTGAAGCTCAAGTCCAGTGGTCAAGATGGTTCTTCGAAGGGGAAGGGTGATTCATCTTTGAAAGAAAAGAATCTGATTCGAAGCTCGATCAAACAACAGCCTGCTGATCCGAAGGTCAAATCTGTTTCGACTGTGACAATAAAAACTGAGGTAACTTTTTCTTCATTCATGTTCACCTTTCGATTTCTTCTCCTTAAAATGATAATTTTTTGTTTGGTTTTTTGTTACTTGGGGTGATTTGGGTAGTGGGGGTTTTTATTTTCCTTTTCAGACTCTTAAATTGATTAGGTTGGGGATCCTGCTGTGTTAATTTCTATTATTTGTTCGATATATATCAGGAAAACTTAGTTATGTATTGGAATTTTGGAAGACGAGGTGATTTAGATAAAGTCATAACTGAACTGAACTGAACTGAACTGAATTGAATAATCTATCATAAATTGCTCATCTGGGTGCATTAAATTTGAATAATCTCAAGCGAATTGTGAGATCCTTTCTGATGGATTTTAGTTGTTGGAATAGCAAATATTTTCTTAAGGATCATAACAACTGTGAAATTATCATATTTATAGCGAGACTCTCTAATATGTTTTATGCAAGTGTGAAGGTAAAGTCAAAGACAACGCCAAGTTCATCCAAGACGACCACAACTACAACTAAAGTGAAAGAGAAGAGAGAGAAGAAAGTTTATTCTTTGCCTGGCCAAAAATATGATCCTCCTGAAGAGGTTGTCCACATGTATACATTCTTATTTTTCTCTTACTTTTAGAAATCATTTCCAGATTAAGTTGGTATAACCAACTCTATTAATTTTGATTTTGACAGAGAGAACCTCTGAGGATATTCTACGAGTCATTATCCAAACAAATACCTGAAAGTGAGATGGCAGAATTTTGGTAAGTTTATGAAAGATCTTCCTGTATAAGACTGCTACTATTTTTAGGCTTTGCTTTCTTTACTATTGCAACTTCCACGAAACATGAATAGGATTACAGTAGAATTAAGGTGAGGTTGGAATGAGATAGTTTTTAATTCTAAGTGATGCTTTTTCTTTAACTTGTCAACTAGAAAATCTAAAGTTCAGCTGTAAAGAATTTAAACTAGAAGTGGAATTGATTCATTGTGATTTAAATGTGAAAGCTGTGATCCATATTTATATATGTTAAGAATATTCCAGTAATTAAAGTCAAGAGATGAAATGGGAATTTAATTAAACATATTAGAGTTATGAAAATTT